CCTTCATTAAAGGGGGACACCCCTTGGACTGATTTCGTTTGGGCTTTTATCCACAAGTCATGCCAAACTTTATTGATTTTTATGTGTTTTTTTTATGGTGTATAAAACCATTTTTTCTAATAACGTCTTTATTTCAAATGTACTTGTTCATTTAGGTTTTGTTGACGAGGCTTAAAGTAGATAAAAGGGAGAAGAGAAATGAAGTAGAAAAATGTATGGCATTAAAATGGAATTTTCAATTTACACTTGCCCATTTAATGTAGCTCGAGGGCCCGGGCATGCCCCAAGTTCGTGATTCATACACAGAGAAGTAGAGGGAGGTTGCCCCTTAGAGAGGCCTAGGTTGTCAGACTATAGGGCTAGTCCCACACTTGCTTGGATGTGGCACTTCAGAAGATCTCGTGTAGAGGGAGGTCCTTTGGCTTCTTCTCTCATGAAGGTGTTGCCAATTCGTATCCTGAGTCTTTCCTAAGAGGTAGGAATGGGTAGAAGCAATAATAGAGCTTTCCATGGAGTCTTATTTTTCAAAAGGAACATTCAAGCTGTCTCTCGATTTTCAGCTCGAACAAACATTACATTTTTTTTTGCCTAGTATGCCCTTTGCGAGTTTTCATTCTAGCAACTTCTTAACAAGCAATGCTTCTATCTTGTTGAAATCATCTTTCAAGAAAGCCCTATTCACTTTGCCTTTTGAGGGATTCGTCCTCCTTAGGTTCTCTTTCTTAGCTTGCAACTCGTTAGGAGTGTGGATTCGTCTATTCCTATTCCGCTTGGATTTCACAGTTACACGACACGACTTTATTTTCTTTGGGGCAAGAGTTGGCGTCTTAATGATTGTGGAGTTCTTTACCTTAAACTCTTTATTCATGGTTTATTTTCCATTATTTTCGACTAATGCACATAGGTCAATTTCCTTTTTTATTCTCATTTATTCTTTTACAAGGAGGGATATGTTCTAAATGAATGTAATGCAAACATGTAGAGAAAGTTAAGAAAAATAAATATCAGTCTCATTGATTTGTTTATTTGTGAATGCTTAAATAGATTTTGACAATATTAACTTACTTTAACAAACATATCAAAGCAAGGGCCTAATCATAGTATTTTTTTTAAGATTGATTTAGGCTTTTCTTTAAAGCGCAGGTACTGTCGTATATTAGAGCATTCACTTTTTCTTAACTTTCTATACGTACTGCAGCCTAATCCTCCTTAGCTAATAAAATAAAATGAATGAAATTAATGAGCTAATCTAGAATGCATGTCATCTTTTTTTGCCTAATCTTTATCATGTTTCTATTATCTAAAACGGAATGATGCATGGTAAAGAAGAGATTTCTTTTATTGATTTTTTTTTACAAAAAGGAAACTACCTATATGATGTTAATGGAATGCTGACCTAAGAATGTATAAAGGGGTATAAAATTTTTATTTTTATTATTTTTATTTTTTATTATCTTTATTGTTTGCTTATTATAAAATTCCAATCCATCTTATTAGAACAAAATAATACAAACAAATGCACACACATATGCTCAATCAACGTACACCCACGAACGATCATGATCAAATTCTTGGTCTGTAGTCCCTGTCAAGAAAAGTGCGCTGCATAGGACAGCTCAAATCTCACTGGTCTTTAAGGCCCCCAAGGTCCCCCCATTATAGGGACCCAATATCTCTATCATCGTCACCTGGCAAACTCTAAGGTTTGTAGCAGTATTTCAGGCTAGAGTAACCGGTTATCACCTTGAGTGTGATTTCTGACAAGGCTCGCAGGCTCCAAGGCCAAACTTGGGCCGGTCGTACGTCAACGACTCCCTATGTTTAATACCCTTATGCCCTCGAGTGTAGGGGGAACAGTTATGTGCAAAGGTTTGGTAACAGATTGGGGAACTTCACTACCCTTAGTTCCGGAGGTTGAAGCCTTACTAACAAGGTTTTCTCCTAAAACTTGGAGGTACTTGTTGGTGTAATTGTTTTGTTCCATAAGGGCTTTAATATCTTGGGCTCCTATGGTCTCAACAGATTTATACTTAAAGGGCGAAGCCATATACTTATCATCTAAGTTTGGGATGAAATAACTACTGTTTGGGGGAAGGTCAGACTTAACTAATCTACCGTCCTTACGGTGCCAAACAGTAAGGATATTAACAGAAAGGTCTTCTGTGATAGTGGTAATCCAAGGTGGACTAATCTTGTTCCTAAAAAGGTAAACGTTAAACCAGTCGAAGAAACAAACACGGGTTTGGACATTTTCAAGAAAAGTATAGAACGAGTCTATGATCTTTGATCTTTGGTCACTCTTAAAATTCGTAAGGAACCACTGTCTCTGGGATGTCCAATCCACAGAGTAGAATTCCTTATGAAGGGTAAGTTTGTCTATGGTGTACCTAATCATGGTTGACCATACTGCATTTCAGATTAGGTAGGAGAATGAATCTCAGTTGAAGCTTCATCCTCATTCCTGCGATAGAGGATGAGTTGTCTAAACCTTGGAGGTTAAATGTTGATTGGGCTGCAGCGAAGGATCTTCTAGAAGACCTAAAATTATCAGATCTAACAGAATTGGATCCAAAAAACCTACATGAACTAAAAGAATTGCATCTGTTGAAGGTGATAGTAACTTCACCGGCGGGGTGTTGGTTGATTTCCTCAATCTCAGGGGTTGGTCTTGGTGCAAGAGTAACTGCCTTGGTTACGGTCTAGCTATCAGGGAGAGTAACATCCTCCCATTTGATAGAAACAGGGACAACTACGTTGGCCTTACTAAAGTCTGTAAGGAAAAGGGTGGTTGTTCCTACCTCTAGGGGTTTGTAAACCTTTGATCTAATAGAATTCATAACCTTGTACTGAATCCTATAGATGAGTGTCAAACGGATAGATCCAGGCTTCATGTGGAGATCTTTGGTTTGGATTTGAAGATAAAGAGCATCAAGGATATTGCGATCTTTGAGGCTGATGGTACGATTGGGAAAACAATTGAAAAAGATAGGACCCTTAGCTAAAGAAGTCTCAACAGTTCCTATCAAAGATTGGTTAAACCTAAGGTGTCTAAGATCACGAAGACAACAAAGAATAGAGTTGTCTAGACCTTTGATACCTAAGGGTTTGATGGCTACCTGAATACAACCGATATGAAGGTAGTTGTATTTTTTGGCTTCTTCTTTAAGAGATTGTTCATCAAGGAGATGGAATTCTTCTTCCTCATTAGAGAGGGGGATTTGACTTTCTGCGGTTTTGATGATATAATCAGTTTGCTTAAACCATCTACCGTCAAGTTTGTAAATCTCATTAGCAGAGACTTTAGGGAGTTGCCAATCGTCAAGCTCCTGATTGTGGTCTTCAAAACAAAATTCTTCGTTGAAGACATTTGATGATTGAGGTTTGAATTGTTTCTCAGAGAGCGATGAAGATCCAGGATTGGAAGATTTGCAGGAAAACATAGAGACAAGGGAATTAAACATGACTAGGAGAAAAGAAGGGAGAGAAAGGAAAAGAAGGAGAGGGGGAGCAAAAAGACTAATAGAGTTGTGAGAGAGAAAGATGAGGAGAGTTAGATAGAGAGAAAGCAGCGAGAGAGAGGAGAGAATTTTTGATAGTAATTGTAATTTCATTAGCTGACAAAAAATAGGTACAATATTGGTATATATAGAGCCAATGATATATTGGTCTATATTAACAGAAAATTGATATAAAAGATATATAAAGATATACTTATAAAAAGATATATAAAGATATACTTAGGAGTAAAACTATACTCCAATACCCCCCGGCAAGCTCAAGTAGGATGAGGTGACCCAACTACTTGAAGCTTGGACCTAAGTTCACAGAACCGAGAAGGAGAGAGAGCTTTGGTCAGGACATCAGCACACTGATCAATGGCAGGAACATGAACAACCTGAAGACGCTTGGCAGCAACTTTCTCTCGAACAAAGAAGAGATCCAATTCCATGTGTTTAGTGCGAGCATGAAGAACAGGGTTGTGAGCAAGGGCCACAGTGCTCATATTATCACAGAAGATTACCGAGGTTGAATGATGGACCTTAAGTTCAGAAAGTAACGTCTGTATCCACATAACTTCAGTAGCAGCAAGGGCAAGACTTCGATACTCTGCTTCTGTACTGGAACGAGCAACAACAGTTTGCTTTTTGGACCACCAAGACACAAGATTTGGTCCAAGGAAAATGGATGCACCTGAGGTGGAGCGCCTGTCATCTGGATCAGAAGCCCAGTCGGCATCACAATAAGCGTGGATGGAGAAGGAGGAAGTAGTAGTAGCAGGTTGCAGATGGAGACCCCAAGATATAGTGCCTTTGAGATAGCGCAAAATTTGTTTGACAGCAATCCAATGCTGTTCAAGAGGCTGAGACATAAACTGACATACTTTGTTGACAGAGAAACTGATTTCAAGTCTAGTTATTGTGGCATATTGTAACGCCCCAACAACTGATCTGCAGAGGGACGGATCAGAAACTTTTTCTTAACCAAGTTTGGATAATTTGCAGCCACTAACCATTGGAGAAGAGATGGGCTTAGCTGCTTCCATGTCAGTGCGATTTAAGAGATCACGTATGTACTTACTTTGAGTGAGGGTGATAGAACCATCTGACTGGTTTTTAACTTCAATGCGAAGAAATTAATCAAGATCACCCAGATCTTTGAGGGAGAATGCAGAGTGAAGACGAGATACAAGGGTCTGGAGGGTGGTGGAGTTGTTGACAGTGATAATAATGTCATCTACATACACCAGAACATAGATGATATTATTGTCAACTGAGTAAACGAATAAGGATGGGTCACATTTGCTGGCTTGAAAGTGAAACTGGAGCAGAGTGGATTTTAACTTCTCAAACCAAGCACGAGGTGCTTGTTTGAGGCCATAAATGGCTTTGTGAAGTTTGCAAACTAGAGTCTTATCAGAAGATTCAAAACCCGTAGGTTGTGTCATATACACCTCTTCGGTAAGAGTACCATTTAAAAATGCGTTGTTGACATCTAGTTGTTTAAGAGGCCATTGATGAGTCAACGCAAGATACAGGTTTGATGACAGGGGAGAAGGTTTCGTTGTAGTCATAGCCAAATTGTTGATGAAAGCCTTTGGCTACCAAGCGAGCTTTATACTTGTGGATGGTGCCATCAGGGTTTTCTTTGACGCGAAAGACCCATTTGCAGCCTATGGGAGTCCTGTTTGGTGGAAAAGGAACGAGGGACCAGGTGCCATTGTGAAGGAGAGCATTGTGTTCTGCTTGCATGGCAGCAAACCAGGTGGAGTTGGACAACGCTTGGAGTGGTTTTGGGTTCAGTATGGGTGAGGAGACGCGTAGGTTGAAGGCGTGGTTTAACAATACCGTCTTTGGCTCTTGTGACCATAGGATGAGTATTGTGAGGATGAATGATAGCATGAGAGGCAGACGCAGGAGGCGTCCGATTAGAAGCGGTCAAGGTGTTGGGGGACAAATTGGAAGTAATGTTTGGAAGGTTAGATTGGGTTGCAGGTGTGAGAGATTCAGAAACTATGTTGGGCGAAGATGCAGAAGAAGAAATTGGGTGTGATTCATGGGTGTGAGAGGATGAAGCGGGTAGTGAAGTTATAGGAGGTGAATTGGTGACAGTAAGGGGAATCTCAATGGTGTTTGGGGAAGAATGGGTTGGGGACGAAGTAAAGAGAGTCTTGTAGGGAAATTTAGCTTCATTGGAGATGACATCTTTGGAGATGTAAAGGCGCCCATCAGCAGCAAGACACTTGTAACCTTTGTGAGAGGTGGAATATCCCAGGAAGACACATTCTTGTGACCGGAGTTGGAGTTTGGTTCGGTTGTAAGGTCGAAGGTGTGGGAAGCAAGAGCATCCAAACACTTTAAGAAAGTGATAGTCAGGGGTTTTGTTGAAAAGTTTTTGATAAGGGACCGCGTTTTGAAGGGGTGTTCACAAAACTATTTAAAACCAAACTTTTTAAATAACTAAACTAAAATAAACTAAATTATTATTTAATAGTTTAAACCAAACTATTAATTTTAGTGTAGTTTATAAAACTAAACTATTAAAATTAATAGTTCAGTTCACTAAAATCAAATACAAATACTGTAGCTGTGAAACACATTCGTGCGGAGACTTCGTACCAGACTATTCGGACTCGCGAAGACGTAGGGCACTGAACGCTGAAGCTGTGAAGCACATTCGCGGAGATTTCATACCAGACTATCATTAGTTTTGTTTTGATTTTGTTTTTTTTCATAAAAAATCCTCACTTGCTCATTGTTTTTGGCTTGTGCAATGGCTTTGGAGAAGACTCTTTTTTAAGTTTTCTTGTAATACTTGTTTTGCATTTTAAATTATTTTAAATTTAATTTATAATTAATATCAATGATTTGGTAGCTTAATTTAAAATTGATTTAAAATTTATTTTTTTAATGTAGTTCAATTTATTTTATAATTAATAATAGTTTAATTTATAATTAATAATAGTTTAATTTAATTAATATTATAGTTTAGTTCAAACTCCTAGAACTATAGTGCACTAATCTATATAATAGTTTAGTTTAGTTTAGTCAATATTTATTTTAGTTCAATTTAGTTTAGTGAACTATTTATTATAGTTTAGTTTAGTTTTCTTCTAGTTTAGTTTAGTTTAGCAATTTGAACACCCCTAGATGGGAGTCGGTTGATGAGATAAACGCTGGTAAGGAAGGCATAATCCCAGAATTGCATGGGTAAATTTGCTTCAGCAAGCAAGGTGAGCCCGAGTTCAACTATGTGGAGATGCTTACGTTCAACCACACCATTTTGATGGTGTGTGTGGGGACATATGAGACGATGTTGAATCCCAAAATCATTGAGGTATGTGGTAAAGGGGCGAAACTCTCCTCCCCAGTCTGTTTGCAATGCTTTGATGGGAAGCTGAAATTGATTGGTAACCATGTTATGAAACTGTTTGAAAACACCAAGGGTTTGTGCCTTGTTTTTGATGAGATAAATCCATGTAAAACGCGTAAATGAATCAACAAAGGTAATATAGTACTGAAAACCACACGCAAAAGTAGCAGAGGCAAGGCCCCACAGATCGCTGAAAACTAGTTCGAAGGGAGCAGTATAAACAGATGAGGAAGGGGCAGAGGTAGTCTATGAGATTTACCCAGACAGCATGAATCACAAAACAGTGTTGTAGTATTATTAACAAGTTTAATGTTGCAGTTACGAAAAACAAGTTTAATTACATCAGAATTAGGATGTCCTAATCTTGAGTGCCAAGTGGCAAATGTAACAGAGCCCCTGGTAGTGGAATGAGCAGAACACTGCTGGGCAGTGGCCAGAGACGAGGCAGGTTGCTATTTGATGTTGGAGAGCAGTGCCGGGAACTGATATAAACCGTCAGGGCCAACTGTTCCATGAAGTAGGACCTCCTTAGTAGCCTGTGATTTTACCAAGCAAAAGGAAGGATGAAATTCAAAGAAAACAGAGTTATCTTTGGAGAACTGACTGACACTAATCAGATTTTTTGTAATGGAGGGAACAAAGAGAAGATCGTTGAGAGCAAAATGAAACTGAGAATTAATTGGAGAGGGAAACATGGTGACACCTACAGAGTTTATGTGAAGTTCTTGGCCATTCCCAACATGAATTTGATCCGGGCCTTCGAAGGGAGTGAACTGTTGAATATTTTGAGAAACATTGGTGACATGATTTGATGCACCAGAATCCGGATACCAAGTGGTGTTGTTCGAAGAGGAGGATGAGGCAACCATGGCCTGAGGTTGCGTCGGGGTAGGGGTAAAATGAACTTGAGGGGTGGGATGAGGTCGAGGCCCAAGAATTCCATTTTGATTGAGTGAAGGAGGAGTAGGTTGATTACTGTACCAAGAACCTGTATAGGTATTTTGGTTGGGAGATTGCTGCGCGGGTACTTCAAGAGAAGAGGATGGGACGTAGGTTGCATCAAACCTATAATAGCATGAGGAAGCAATATGGCCATACCGATGACAGACTTGACATTGGAATCGAGCAAATCTTCCTCTGCCTCGAGCTGGACGGTTGGAAAAACGGCCACCACAAAAGTTAGAGCGACCGCCACGACGCTGAGAAAAGGAAGTCTGAGTTTCTTGATGTGCAAGATTGGCTTGTTGATGCATGAGGGGTTGATTAGGGTCAGGGGATGTTGTGGCGACATTGATGGAGGCAGCAGCTTTCTTCTTGAACTTTTCAAGATGAGATTCATGGCCAAGAAGTAGGGTTTCAACTTCCTCGATGGACAGAAGATCAAAACGGCTACTGATGAGAGAGACGGTGGATTCATATTCTTCGGGCAATCCTTCAAGAATGATATCTATAAGAGAAACTAAATTTGAGAAGTGAATATTATTGAAAAGGTAAAACTACACAATGTGCGGTATGGTTACATATATAAAGAATTACAACAAGAGAATAACAAAGTCTAAAACAGAAAAATTAACTCAATACAACTAATAAAAGTATTTATTATTTATTCTCTAATACACCCCCCACAAGCTCAAGGAGGATGAAACACAACAGACGGGTTGACCACATTGAGCTTGGAACGGAGAAACAAAAATCTTCTTGGTGATAGAGCCTTTGTCAGAACATCTGCATATTGATGTTGAGCAGGTATATGTGAAACAACCAGAGTTTTACTGAGCACCTTCTCTCGAACAAAAAAGATGTCTAGTTCCATATGTTTGGATCTTGAGTGCAAGACATGATTGTGAGATAAAGCAACTGTACTCTGATTGTCACAGAGCACTGTAGGAGTATTTATTTTGACTTTTAATTCCTTTAGGAGAGACTGAATCCACAAAACCTCTGTGACAGCTTGAGCTAAAGCTCTGTATTCTGCTTCAGTACTTGACCTGGCAGCAAGCAGCTGCTTCTTGGACCACCAAGATACTAAATTTGGACCAAGATAGATGCAGGCTGCTGAAGTAGATCGTCAGTCATTAGGATCAGACGCCCAATCAGCATCAGTAAAGGCAGAGTGTCTCTGACGAGGTCAGGATACCCTAAGATTATACCTTCCTTCCATCGCAAAATTCTTATGAAGAAGGATCAGAAGGCCGACTTATGGGTTCATATATATCTGTCTTTAGTCTTTGTCGGGCTATTCGCCTGGCGAAACGGATTGACAGATCGATATTGAAATAGATAGTCACCCCTTCCACCGGTCTGCCAAGACAGTCTAAATAAAAAAATGATATTGTCGCTTTATCTAAAGACCTGATCCTAAGGTACTGTCCTAGTTTTCTCTCAACTCCCTTGTGTCAGGGGGTACGTTGGGAGCCAACTTGGAAAGCGAGACCTTCGTGGAGGCCGTAAAGGTGAAAAGACGCGTGGAGGAATATTCTACCCTACCATCTGCGTCATGAAATCGTTTGGTTTGTACATCAATAGCCATTGTGACTATGATGCAGGGTTTCCTCTATGGTCCCCCTTTATCCGATACCCTTATGACCAAAAGAAAGAATGAAGAGATATCTCCATGGTCTACAGAGACCGCTGAGAGTACCATCCACTCTCTTTCGGGTCTAGACACTTCGGTGAGTCTATTGACTCAGGCTCCCCTGGTAGACTATCGCAATCTACCGAGGCTGGCGCTGGTAAGAGACAGATATTCGCCATAGGTAACTTTGTGAAAGGGTATTGAAGCCTCTTCATGATTTCCTCATGGACACGCTTCGGTCTATCCCAATGGATGGAACTTTTAATCAGCTCCGACCGTTCGTTGGATAGATGAAAAGGTTTCAGTAAGGTTTATTCTTTTGACTTGAAGTCTGCCACCGATAGGTGGCCCCTCAGTCTGAAGACTAACCTTATTAGAACTTTATTTGGTAAGTCTGTTGGAGATTGTTTAGATGCAATCTTCAGCAGATCTATGAAGTACCCTTTCTTCGCTCAGTTCGAGGTGTCGTATTCTTTAGAGTAGGACAACCTCTTGGCTTTCTGTCTTCTTGGCCTCTCTTCACTTTAACACATCACTTAGTGATGTTTTATTGTGCAGAGAAGGTGTACCCAGGACAGCGCTTTACTAGGTATGCCATTCTTGGAGACGATGTTTGTATCGCCGACGAGAATGTGGCCTCTCTTTATCGCCAGACAGTAAATGATCTAGGTCTCGCAATAAGAAAGGGGGTGAGATAGGCGACAGGTAGCTTGCTTCCAAGCCGGCCCGGCCGCGAGGAAGAGATCTTTGCCGGTGCTGACTTGGATCTCGGGTGACGGAATAAGGCGCCCAGAAGCGACGAGCAGTCGCGGTCGAAGCTTGGCTCTAGGCGATAGGCTAGCAGTAAGCTTGGCTACAGCGAAGCGCTTACCAAGCGCGAAGGATTCGTTCCTCTCCCAGCAAGAGGATGCGCGCCTTAACTTAAAAGAAAGTTCGCGCTTTACTTTACCAAGGCTTTCTCTGATAGGGGCTCGTTAGCGGTCGAGCTCAAACCTTCGCCACTTGAGCCGTATGCGGGGGAACTCGCACGTGCGGTTCTTAGGGGGGAGAGCTAGTAGGAACCATCCTATCCCAATAGCGAATATTTGGAGCTCAATATGAAATCCTATTTTCTTGCAAGACCCGTTCGGATAAGGGAAAACTCCAGAGATTGCTTCGAAGTAAGATCCTTGCGTTGACCCTTTCCTGAACCAGAACCGGGGGGGGGTTGAGAGGAAAGAAAAGGGGATCAAAATTTCCCATCAATAAAGTGAGGGCTTTCCGGACCTTCCCCACCCCTCTTTCCATTCTTCCTTCCCCTCTCACTCCCCCTTTTTCAAGAAATAAGCCCCGCTCCCTAAGAAGGGGCCCCTCTCTGATAAGGAAGGAAACGAAAGAATCTCCATTTTATGACAAATCCGGTCCGATGGCTGTTCTCCACTAACCACAAGGATATAGGGACTCTATATTTCATCTTCGGTGCCATTGCTGGAGTGATGGGCACATGCTTCTCCGTATTGATTCGTATGGAATTAGCACGACCCGGCGATCAAATTCTTGGTGGGAATCATCAACTTTATAATGTTTTAATAACGGCTCACGCTTTTTTAATGATCTTTTTTATGGTTATGCCGGCGATGATAGGTGGATCTGGTAATTGGTCTGTTCCGATTCTGATAGGTGCACCTGACATGGCATTTCCACGATTAAATAATATTTCATTCTGGTTGTTGCCGCCAAGTCTCTTGCTCCTATTAAGCTCAGCCTTAGTAGAAGTGGGTAGCGGCACTGGGTGGACGGTCTATCCGCCCTTAAGTGGTATTACCAGCCATTCTGGAGGAGCAGTTGATTCAGCAATTTCTAGTCTAGAGCTGATCAATTATTTTTTGCAATAAGGAAGGAGAATTGCCAGTAAGAATAATATCATCCACATAAACAAGCATGTAAACAGTGATGGTTGAATCAGATAAGATGAACAGACTAGGATCACATTTGCTTTTACTGAACCCAAGCATGAGTAGGACAGAGGTCAATCTTTCAAACCAAACACGAGGGGCCTGTTTCAGACCATAAAGAGCTTTTTGCAATTTGCAAACCAGATGCTTAGTCCCAGGTTTAACAAAACCAGGAGGTTGAGACATATAAATGTCTTCCTCAAGCATTCCATTAAGAAATGCATTATTAATATCCAGCTGACGAATAGACCAGTTATAAGAAACTGCAAGAGAAAGAACAACCCGAATGGTGACAGGTTTAACTACAGGAGAAAAAGTTTCAGAGAAATCAAGACCAGGTTGTTGATGAAACCCCTTAGCAACAAGTCTGGCCTTGTATTTATTGATTGAGCCATCAGGATTTTCTTTGACTCGAAAAACCCACCTACATCCAATGGGTTTTCTGCCCGAGGGTAAGTCAACCAGCTGCCATGTATTATTTGCATGTAAAGCTTGAATCTCAGCTTGCATAGCAGCAAGCCAGTTAGGATCAGTGAGAGCTATTTTCACTGATTTTGGTTCAGCACTAGAAAGTAGGAGAGTGGGATTTATTCTAGATTTGACAATTCCATTTTTGGATCGAGTAGTCATGGGATGAACATTGAGCGTTGTAACAGGAGAATGATGTTGAGAGACAGAAGGTGAAGACGAAAGGGAGTGATCAGTAAGAGAACTAGCAGGTGTAGCAGCAGATTCAGAATTGAGGGGGCTAAGTTCTAATGATTAAGAACTGGACAAGCTGGAAGGCTGAACTGGTGCAGAAGATGAGGAACAGTGGGATTTAACCAGAGAGGGAATCACAGATACCGAAGATGCAGAGGTAGAAGAATCAGATTTTGAAACAAATAGATCATTGTGGGGAAATTTGTTTTCATTGAAAACAACATCCTTGCTCACATAAATCCTTCCAGCTTTACTTAAGCACTTATAGCCTTTATGACTAGGAGAGTATCCCAAAAATATACACTCCTCTGATCTTGGCTGAATTTTATGTTGATTATAAGGCCTAAGTAAAGGAAAACAGGAACAGCCAAAAACTTTCAGAAATTTATAATCAGGATCCTTATGATGAAGTAGCTGATAGGGTGATTGATGGGCAATTGATGAGGATGGTAACCTATTGATAAGATAGGTATGAAGGCATGATCCCAGAACTTTAATGGCAATGAAGCATGATGTAGCATGGCTAAACCAAGCTCAACAACATGTCTGTGTCTCCTCTCAACTATGCCATTTTGATGATGCGTATGTGGACAAGTAAGTCTGTGAATAATCCCATGTTGTTGTAGAAAAGAAGTTAGAGGACGAAATTCACCACCACCATCAGTTTGAACAGACTTTAAGGGAGTCTGAAACTGTTTTTCCACTAGCGTCTTAAAGTTCAGGAAATGAGAAAAAACATCAGACTTCCTGTGAAGAAGATAAATCCACATATATCGAGTGCACGCATCAACACACGTTAAGAAGTACATATAACCACAACTAGATTCTAATGATGCTGGTCCCCATACATCTAGAAAGACAAGTTCAAGTGGTTTAGAGTAAACATAAAAAGAAGGTTGAGAAGGAAGTCTATGAGATTTTGCAATACAACAAGAGTCACAAAAATCTGAAATTTTATTAACAGTAGGAATGTGAATGTTACAAATTTTTAAGGCCTTAGTTAGAGCATCATGATGCGGATGCCCTAACCGCAAGTGCCACTGTCTATATGCACTAGGAACAGTGTTTGTACAAGTTGTAGAAAGAAAAGTACAAGGTTCAGACAAAACAGAAATTGAATTCTTCTTGTGAGCAACTTTGATTATTTCATTCTTCATCAAGGATGGATGAAAACGGTAGAGACCATCTTCTCCAAGTTTGCCTTCAAGAAGTGTTTTGTTCAAATCCTGTGATTTGACAAAACAGGAATGAGGAGTGAAAACAAAATAGACATAATTGTCTTTAGCAAACTTGGAGACACTCATTAAATTTTTGGTTAAATTGGGAACAAGCAAAAGGTCTTTTAGTGACAGACAGGTGGAAGGACAACACATGGGACCTAAACATATTAGAACCAATTGAGGTTATGGATGTACCTTGGCCATTGGCCATGACAATATGCTCTGCCCCAGTAAACTGAGCACTTTGTAGAAGATTCTGTGGATCAGCAGTGGCATGATGAGACGCTCCTGAGTCAGGAATCCAAGCTGTTGCAGTATTTAGAGTGGGAGCAGGACGTGGAGTAGAAGAGGCAGTACTCTGATGTGCTGACTGGTTGGAATAGGGTGTAGGAAAGATGAAGCCAGGTGGAGAAAAACCAAGCCCAGATAAAGTGGACCCAAAAGGACCACTCATCATAGGGGTAGGCCACTGTGCCAAACCTGATGACCCAGGCATGTTAACAGACCCAGAATAAGGAACATGACCAGGATTGGGAAGAAAGGATGGGCTGAAGCCAAAGTTCTGAGGTCCGTAACCATTCTGAGAGCCAAAACTAGCTGTAGGATAAGATGAAAACATTGAACCAAAAGGCATTCCATATCCAGCAAATGGCAGTCCATTGGTTCGTTGGTAACAAGTAGACGCCTCCTGTCCTCGTTTGTGACAAATTTGACCCTGAACAGAGGAACGATTTCTGCCACCACGTGCACCTCGACCACGACCTCCATCACGATTCTGACCAGAAAAGCTATTGAATCCACCTTGTGAAGGAAAAGAGGAATGTTGAAAGGTGTTGGGCTGCGAATTTGGCATTTGTGGTTGTTGAAATGCTAAATTCACATTTGGAGCTCCATTTGCAACAGAAGTAGTCTGAGCTACATTAATAGTCAGGGGTTCTTGAATGATTGCCGTTCTAGCCTGTTCTAGTCGTGCTTCTTGAGAAAGAATCATGGTTTCAAGTTCTGCAGGAGAAAGAACATCATCACGACTAACAAAGTCAGTAATTGTGGAGATGAGTGAATCATATTCAGGTGGAAGGCCTCCAATAATACATTTAGC